AAAGCAGCAATGATGAAGATGACAAAAACTGATGACATTGTTATGCATAATTTTGACTGTAGTAGTCTATAAATACATACACATTATACAGTCTTAGTTTATAATTTTGTAAAAAATTAACCAAATCAAAAGTCACAAAAAACAGTGATTAGTGATTACACATAAATAATGTTTAATTAGCTGACATGCACATGTACACATTACAATTAAGCTAAAGTTAATCCATTTTTATGAAAAAATACTAAAGCACAAGCCATGCACGGAAACAGCTATAACAATAGTAGGTTTATAGATATAAATTTCGATTGAGTTTCTGTAGTCATGAAGTACATTCCTTAAATTTGATATTCATAGTATTCCTCCCCAGTTTATGAATAATAAATGGCCAATTCAGGTCAAAACATATCCCCACCCATCTAATCATGAACAAAAAACAGGCTAGTGAAGAGCAACAAGATGTCAAAAAGGAGTTGGAAGCTCTGAAGCAGTATGAAAAGAAGCTTCAGCATGCCAAAGAGGCCCTGAAACCAAAGGATAAATGTGATGAAAGCGAAATAAAAAGTAAAAACAATATGTTATAATTTACTTAAATATAATACATTGTGTATATGTAAATAGAACTAGAAGATATTATCAAAAACACAAAAGATACAATGGCGAAGAGTGAGGATGAGATAAAACAAATGAAAAAAGGTTTCTAGTTAAGTTATTTTATATGCATATGTATAACTTACACAGATCACAATGGTCTAATTGCCACACAAATTGCGCAGGTCCAATTATTGGAGGAAGAGGTAAAAAAGCAGATTCAAGAGTCAGAAGAGAAGCTTGAAAAAGAGCAGCAGAAATTCAATAACAAAGATACAAGACATGAAATGGAAGAACAAGTCCAGCAAAATACTGAAGTTACTAAAATGTCTATGAAGACCGTACTTATGCAAAAAGTTACAAAAACTGTCAAGTCTGTTGCTGGATTAAGAGGGGAAACTGATCCAAACCAAGAAGAACTTAATGGTAGTACTGAACAGAAGAAAAGAACACAAAAAATGACTGAAGAAGAAATGAAGCTAGAGGAACTTAGAAAGCAAAATGATCAAAGTAATTATGTATATTAATATAAGTCATTATTTTTGTAGGTCTAAGAGAGAGAGATGAGCAAATTAAAAGTCTTAAAGAAGAATTACAAACCAGAGATTCTGAAATAAATGAATTGAAAAAAATGTATGAGCAAGAGCTACAAGAAAGTATAGACTGTCATTCACAAAAAATATTTTACATTATTTTCTTTCAAAGAATCCCAATCTCAAAACACATCAAATGGTTGGACTAGTTTTATTGCCAAATATTTTCCTTTGAAAAAAACCATCATTGATCAGTTGGAAGCTAAAAACAAAACAATGTCTGACCAACTGCAAGAGGCAGAAAATGCTTTAGAACAAGAGAAAAAGGAGTCTATGAGGAAAGATGCCCAACTAATGGAGCAAGAAGAACATTATGAACAGAGACTGAAAAGTATACTGTATCATAGGTGTATAACTATATTATATACTTGCTTTGTAGAACAAAGTGCAATAATGACATCAAAAATTCTGAAGCTGCAAGAAGAAAATGAAGAGCTCCGTCAGAAACTAAAAGAAGCAGAGGCTTCATGGAAAAAGGAAATGGATGAATTGAGAGCCACTCATGCTAACGAAATAGATAAATTGAAAGCCATTGTAGCTAAGGGCAAAGAGGATACAGAAAAGCTGAAAGCCATTGTAGCTAAGGGCAAAGAGGATACAGAAAAACAAATAACTCAAATACAAGAAGAAACCAGACAACTTTCTAGGGTTATAGAAGAGCAGAAAAAGATAGATCAAAAGATGGAGGACATGAGTCAAAAGATAATGGAGGGTATGGGTCAAAAGATGGAAGACATGGAGCAAAAGATGATGGAGGGCATGGATGAAAAGTTGGATCAGAAGATCAAAAGCTTGGAACAAAAGGTAGATGACATGGGTCAAAAAACAGATGACATGGGTCAAAAGATGAAGGACATGGGTCAAAAGGTGGAGGACATGGGTCAAAAAACAGATGACATGGGTCAAAAGATGAAGGACATGGGTCAAAAGGTGGAGGACATGGGTAAAAAAACAGAGGACATGGGTCAAAAGGTGGAGGACATGGGTAAAAAAACAGAGGATATGGGTCGAAAAGTGGAGGACATGGGTAAAAAAACAGAGGACATGGGTCGAAAGGTGGAGGACATGGGTAAAAAAAGAGGACATGGGTCGAAAGGTGGAGGACATGGGTAAAAAAACAGAGGACATGGGTCGAAAGGTGGAGGACACGGGTAAAAAAACAGAGGACATGGGTCGAAAGGTGGAGGACATGGGTAAAAAAACAGAGGACATGGGTAAAAAAACAGAGGACATGGGCCAACAGCTGAAGAGTACAAATGAAAACCTCGAAAATGTCAAACAAGAAGTAGCCACTTTGAAAGAAAAAATTGAGCCCAGTGCCCCACCAATAACAGCAGTAGCAGTTACTGAGTCCAATCCTACTGAAGCTTCACCTTATAGCATTGCTACACTATCAAGTAATACAAACTTTTGCAACATGTACATGTATTATTATATTAACAGAACCATTGAGCTACACTAATGTGGAACCATACTTTGATCGACCAGCTAAAGAAACAGGTTTTTAATAAAGTTTAAATAATAATGTACAAATACATGTTTCATTTTAGGTGTGTCAGAGGAGGCTGAATTAGTGATGATTAATGCCAAAGATGAAAAAAAATGATGAAATGAAGAACTACATGTGTGTATTTTTGTGTGCTACAAGTTTACAACTAAACTACTAGTGTTTGCTTATTCATTTTAATTTGATTAATTTAATTCTAATGAGAACAAAAGCCATGAGAACAGCCGTTACAACAGTGAGGAAATTACCTGAGTATATTCAGTGGGCAACATGCATAAAAAATAGAGACTTGTAGAAGCCTGGACTTCTATTCAATGATTTACAGTACACTATAACTTTTATTGTACATTTATTGTATCACATTATACAGTAGTACAATATCATGTGATATAGAAACAAGTGACTAAAGCAAAAAACAAGTAATGCACCTCAATTAGTGGCCGTACATCAGAAGCCTGCTGTACATGTACATGACATGTAGTAGTTTTTAGTACACATATATATCAGACATTCCTAGGATTAAATAATCATAGTTTATATCATAGATATTAGAGTACAGGAAAGGGATTGGAAAACACCGGAAATATTACATGTAGATGATGTGTATCCTAGCAAGTATGCAAGTTGCCCCCACAAAGTGAGCAAAATGGAGGAAGGCCTTACACTTCACTGTTCATAACTCTAGATGAGTATCAGTTCGAGCTCTTTTAATACGCTACCTAAAAAGTTTAAGACCTACTCTATCTAGTGATATCAGTTTTTGTGTATTACAACTAAAGAAGACTTTTTAATAGTGCCGTGAATTGTCCTGGTTGAAGTTGCCCTTCACTGCTTTTTAGTTTTGTACCCTTTACTCAAAAGGTATTGAACTGATCTTGCTGTTAGGCTTATAAGCGACTAAATAAAATCAAACTCGAGGGCAATGGCAGGTTTTAAAAGAAAAACAATGTAGTGTTGCAAAGTTGAGCTAAAAACTGTTCCGGCTAAAAACTAGTTTTGTTTTGTACCCTTAACTCAATCACAATAAATGCTACAGCTCTCAAACTTCAGATATAAATACATCACTCTTATGCTGAAGGCAATAAGGTATAATGATGTCTTCATTTCACTGTATAAGTAAATAAAGCTTCATTTCCTATTATTTAGGCATCATAATGATCAGACAGTCTATTGACAGCAATGCAGCACTTATTTTAGGATCCACCTCATTAAGCAAGAGACAGATGGTTTGCTATTGTCAAAATAATGTTAAGAATTCATTTTTGTTAAAATTAAAGTAAAGAAACACTAGAAAAATACCGGGAAAGTTATTACATCTGTGGTTCATTCCTCCATTTTCTTTTGTTTTTCAATATTTTTATCCGTTTAAATAGAAATTTAATTTGAAAACAATACGGTATTGACAACTAGCATTTCCTGCCGCGAACGGTGGTTTCCAATCCCTTTCCTGTAGGCTGTACTCTAATATCTATGTTTATATACTGACTACATTCCCCGCCCCTTTGGTCATGAGCAAAGAGAAAACCACTGGGGGACAAAAAGATATCAAAGACTTTAAAGCTAGACTCCAGCAGTATGAAAAGGATCTTCAGGAAGCCAAAGAGAAGCTGAAACAAGAAGATGATGAAGTTAGGGCTAAGAATGAATGTGCTGAAAAGAAAAGAAAAGGTAAAAAAGAATTTTAACACTGAGAGATAATATGTATATGTATATACATAAATAGGCTTGGAAGAAAAGGACAAATTCATTAAGGACTTAAAAGATAAGATGAACAAGAACATGGAGATAAAGCAAATGAAACCAGGTATAGCTGTATACAAACAACTATTTTATTTATGATAGTAATCACAGAAGAAGACAGTCAAATGGCCACACTAATTGAACAGATACAATCATTGGAGGAAGAGCTAAAAGAGCAAATAAAAAAGTCAGAACAAAAGTTAGAAGAAGGTCTGCAAAAATGTAGAGAAATGGAACAATTTAACAAAGAAACAAGATGTAACATGGAAGAAAAGTCCCAGCTAGGGAGTGCATCTAGTAATACTCAATTAAAAGTGACTATGGACAAGCTTCCAATAGTTGAACAAACAATTCAAAAAGTTTCGAATACAGATTTAAAGATGAAACTAGCAGAACCAGTCCAAGAACTTAACGATACCAATACTAGAAGGCACAAACTGTCAAAAATGAAGGGAGGCATTGCGCAATTTTCTGTAACACCGCCAAGAATGACTGAAGAAGAAATGAAGCTAAGAGAACTTAGAAAGGAAAACGAAGAAAGTAATTATAATTATTACAACAAATAAATTTTAATCATAAATTATGATTTTTGTAGGCCTGAGAGAGAAAGACGAGTTAATTAAAGCTCTCAGGGAACAAGTACGAACCAGAGATTCTGAAATGCAAGAATTGAAAAGAGGCGTTAGAGACTATGAGCAACAGCTTTTAGAAAGCATAGGTATACTTTATAGTCATTTACATGTACAAAATATATTTTAATTATTTTCTCTTAAAGAATTTGAGATTGTTGAATCTCAAAGGACTCGTTTGTATGCCAGACACTTTAAGAAAGGACCCTATTTGCGAAAAACTATTGAAAATGAAATTAAAACAATGTCCGACCAACTAGAAGAGGCAGAATGTACACTAGAAGTAGAAAAACAAAAAAGGAAGCATGAGTCCATGATGAAAGAGACACAACTAAATGAGCAGAGAAAATCTTACGAACAGCAACTAAAAGGTACATCGAATGTGTTTAATTTATTTTGAAAAGTATATCTTGTAGAACTAACGGAAACAAAAGATAGGCTCACATTACAAATTGAGCAGCTCCAACAGAAAAATGATGAGATCATTGAGCTATTGAAAAAAGCAGAAGCCTCTTTCAAGGAAGAGAGGGAGTCATTGAAAAAGGAAATGGAAGAACTGAGAGCCAATCATGCTAAGGAAATGGATGATTTGAGAGCCAGTTGTGCTAAGGACAAAAGAGATGTAATAGCTATCTACAAAAAGGATGCTATGAATATACGATTCGAAGTCTCAAAATTAGTCAAAGAGGCAGTGAAAGAGGTCATCATGGAAGCCAGCCTTCCCCAAGAAATTCAAAAGGTGGGTCGAGAACTGGAGGGTGTGAAAGAGACTTTCAAGCAAGAAATGATTGAATTGCATAGAAAAATAATTATTGATGAAAAAGAAAAACCCAATGTTCCACCAATAACAGCAGAAGCAGTGGCAGAATCCAATCCTACTGAAAATTGCATACTATCAAGTAATAATAAGCTCAATAGCAATGCTTATTGCATTTTCAAATAGATTCATCAATTGATGGTAGTGTTGAACATCATTTTAAACCACCAATTCAAGAAACAGGTTTTAAAAAAGGTAATGTATGTCAGTTGTAAATGTACATGCATATTATATTTATTTTAGATGAAAGCAATAATGACAAAGAAGAAAAAAATTAATGGAACTTTACTTACTACATTATAGAAGAACTGTTCATTTTTGCACAAGGAAACTGGAGCCATACAACTATTACAGAGTGGTTTTTTAATATGTAAATTTTGGTTAAGTTTCTATAGTAAAATATTATCTATAGTAGTAACACATATAATACATGTAATCCAACCAAAAGGAATTCCCGGTATGATTATATATACATGCATTCTTAGTTCTTCTAATTCAACGAACAGATTGATTTTACAGTCAGTGACATACTTTGAATCATGAGCAAAGAGGAGGCCAGTGGAGGAGAAGAACAACAAGCTAAACATGTCCAAGACTTAGAAACTAAACTCAAACAGATTCAAAAGGAACTTGAGGTTGCAGAAACTCAGTATGAGAAGAAGCTTGAGGAAGCTAACAATGAACTGAAAATAAAATCAGAAATGTGCCAAAAGTCAGAACAATGTAATGCCTTACAGTACATGCATAATAAAGAATGAAATTGATCTTCAATAATGTAGGTATTGAGGAAAGGGACAAGGTTATCAAAGAGCTTGAGGAAAAGCTTGAAATCAAAGACGAAGAAGTCAAAACAAAACTTGAAGAGTATTTTAGCAAAGGTAGCTTCAAGTATATGTACTTAAAAAACATAACTATAATACTTCATTATAATAGCAATGAGTGATGATAAAGATAGTCTGATCGCAAAACTGATGAAAAGAAACATCTTATTAGAAGAAAAGCTAGAAACACTTAAAGCCAAAGAAGCAGATCTAAATGAAGCAAAAACAAGACAAGCAGAGATATTGACTAAAGGTACATGCACATTGTACATACTAATCCAATCATCATGTTATTATCATAGTGACAAGTGAAAAAGACAGTCAGATTGCCCAACAGAAAAAGAAAATCTTTTTGTTACAAGACATGCTAGCAAAACAGATAGAAGAGGCAAAGGAGAAGTCAGAAAAGGAACAAAAAATATGTAGACAGGAAATAGAAGAAGCAAATAAAGCCTGTGCTCAAAAAATCAAGGAGGCACAACGTGATATTGAAGAGAAGCTACAAATTGCTAGACAAACAAGTGTCACCACTCTTGGTGTCACTAATAAGCAAGTATACGTAGCAATGATAGAACTCCTCACAAATCTGATGGAGCAAGCCATTGCCAAAAACCCATCAATTCAAAAGATGTGTCAACAGATGGAGGGATTGGCTTTAGATGTAAAAGAAGTCAAAGAAAATCAAAGGAAGGAAAAGGAGCCCATTGTTACTCCAATAACAGCTGAAGCAGAGGAAGACTCAAATGATACTGGAGTCTCTCCTTATAACATTGCTACATTATCAAGTAATACAAACTTTATTGCAACTTGTACATGCATTATTTTAATAATAGAACCTTTGAGTGACACTAATGTGGAGCCATACTTTGATCGACCAGCTGAAGAAACAGGTTTTTAATTAAATTTAAATAATAATGTACATGTACATGTTTCATTTCAGGCATGACAGAAATGAGTAAAATAGTGACGACAAATGCCAAAGATGACAAAAAATGATGAAATGAAGAACTACATGTACACGTGACATCTTTTGTGTTTCTGCGTACTACTCAAACGCTACTAGTATTTTGATTTCAATTTAATTTTGATTAAAACAAGTACATGTAATAAAATACACCTGTAAAATTACATGTACATGTACATGTACTTACTCGTTATTTTTCAATGGTGATAAAGACATTCTCAATCCTCTACTCCTCCCAGCAGTGACTCCATTAGTGTTAGCATGCATTGACGAAGGGAGGGAGTGCCTCCTGTGCATGCCACGCCCATGATCTAGTTATTAATAGATAATTAAACCACACCCACTTGCAATCACTAACCAACGTGAGAACAAGTTGTGAAAAACTTGTCAAAAACGACAAAATTATTGTTCTAAAATAATTATAAAATAAAATAAAAATTTAGAAGAGATCTCACCTGTTTCACATAGCTACTCAATTGATAGTGACGCTGTAAAAAACTAAGAAACTTTGATGAAGGTCTATCAATGGCGACTTCAAATGCACTCAGCCCCTCCTCCTAAAAATAAGCCACGCCTACTAATTAATAACTGGTAGAACAGGGTTCACAAACCTGTAATACGTTCTCAAAAAGTTCCTTTCCATGTCCTCTCCTTTGCTGTGTCTCATGAACATAAAAGTCCATTATACATAATGGCTCTACTTCATGCAGTAATGTCCTGTTGTCTGTTAGGAATAATCTCTTTCGACCTGTTTTAATGAAACCTAACACACTGCCATTACCACTAGAGGGAGAGAGAGAGAGAAGGAATAGAGGAAAAGAAGAAAGAACAGGGAAAAAGAGAAAGGGGAGGGGAAGAGAGAGAAGTAATAGAAGAAGGAAAAGATAGACAAAGTATGAGAGATTTAACCTGGAGGTGTACATGTACATGTATGTGTATTCACTTATTCATTTCAGAGTCTTTTAAAAGATATATCGTCTGGTCAGGCAACTGCATAAACCTGGCGTATGACGTAATTGGAGCCTTCAAACCTTGTGCCTTAAAATAATAACAACAATAATAATAATTTATATATTATACACGCATCTACCTATATAAATAATATAAGTATGTATACCATTACCATGTATATAGTCGATAGTGCAAAATGTACATGTACATTAATATTTTCAAGTGCCTTTTTGTACACTAAAGTTATTATTTTCAAATAAAATTAATGTGTATATATTGTATAATTATTTGAATTTTTCAGGAGCCCTTGCAATCATTAGTAGTAGGTGTTAAAACTAATAAATTAAATTTGATGTATTTACTTTTGAAGAGGCAACGCCCATTTCGTTCACTATGGCTCCTATCTCGCTATTGTGAGGGTCTCTCCTGAAGCTCTTGAGCCTCCCTCCTCCTCCTCCCCCGCCATGAAGAACGGTCAGTCTCTCCTTGAGAACTAAATTCACGTTGAACGAAAACTCCATAGAGTCCCACTAATAATTAAACCACGCCCATAACAATAGAAATTACCACGCCCACCAATAATTAATTTTGAAAATAACTTTATTTCAATCATTAATAATTATTATTTTATTTCAAAATGAAACCTGTTTAAAACAATAATGGGTATGAAAAATAAATATTTTAAATGTCCCGTTTCATGATAGTTTTCATAGACTGACATAGTTGTTCTTTTCGCTCTCTTTCTTTCTTTATGATTTCGATAAACTTGTTTCTCCCTGAAGCGTCTCTCCTTCATTTTGTTCATCTTCATCATCATCTTCATCTTTTGTGTTGCCTAGCTCCTCATCTCCTATTCTCTGCCATCTTGCTGCTAATACATCACTGTGATCAGCTCTTTAGAAAGAAAGAGAATAAAAACAATCTTGTACTTAAAATGCACGAAAATTATTCATAATAATAAAATAATAAATAAATAATATCTTCTGAACAATAAATACATGTACAAAAAATATATACATGCACATGTACATAGATTATTTTTATTATTTATTACTTTTGTCCGATGGCCAGTACAAAGTTGAGAGCCCCAATAAGGAAGAAGAGTATCATTGGTATGATGGTGGAGGCAGAGAGACACCATAAAACAATGGGAGTTATACTCACACTAGAAAAATTTAAAAAGGCAATGTAAAATATTATGAAAATATTATGCATACATGTATTTACACAGCATAAGAATGTCAATATGCATCAGAAAATGTAATAAAAATTGGGGGTGATTTCGGAGCCATTTTTTAGAAAAAACCATGGGCTATAGCCTTGGGTGTTTTTCAGATTTTTGGCATTTTCTTAAAATGGCCGTAACTTGAAAAATTGAAGTCAGAATCAGCTCAAACTTTCTACGTAGCATAATTACATCAATATATATCAGAAAATGTAATAAAAATTGAGGGTGATTTTGGAGCCATTTTTTGGAAAAAACCATGGGCTATAGCCTTGGGTATTTTTCAGATTTATGTACTGTACATGTACATGTATAAGTACAACATCAGTACAGTATGTATCAACAAAGGGTGTCTCCTATCTTACCCCATATACAAGACTGATCTGTGCCAGTTCTTTAAGTACTTCAATAATCCGTTTATAAACGAGAGTCTCTCCACACACACTCCCAGTATTGTCACCTCCATGAAGAACATCAACACTGATGATATTCTAATTAAAGAGCAAGAGATAAACATCACACACAAAATTACCCTGGAATGTACATAGTGCTGATGTAATGCCCTAACACAATTAAACAGGATTTCCCACAAAATTATGCTAAGTGAAGTAAAATTAATATCATTATGCTTTTGTGAGCTGACAAGCTTTTGAAGCAACTTTTAAGATTATAAAAAATCCACTAATGATTGAAACCAGCTCAATTGAAGTTTCGATGCAACACAGGAACATGTATATACATGCACATGCATGTATCAGAAAATTATTAAATTCTCTCTTAGCCATTTTTAACAAACTCCCGTGTTATAATTTACATGTACATGTATTTACATGAATATGAATCCGACTCCAAGGCAGCGTGGGTACTGACTGAGTGTTGTCGTTAAACTTGGTAGAGGTAATAAAGATATCAATCCACATAACAATATTACTGAAAGAAAACAAGAACACGTCATATTCAAAATGAATCTTCATCTTGATTTGACTACTTACTGACTGAGGCTATGGTACCACACGCTCTTGAAAAGAATATACAGATCTTTCCAAAGTCTCTCGAGTCCTTTTTACTGGAAAATAGAACGTCCATCATTTTGAAAGCGAGGGAGAAGCGTCTATCTTTGTTGACACTCGACAATAACAAAAATGTTCTAATTAACGCGCTTTGGAGGCGTTGCCACACGTGCTATCACGTGGGTTATTCTGTGCTAAAATTCCATTTAAAAATAATTCTCTATAATAATAATAATAATTAATAAATAGGTGATTAATAATTAATAACAATTAATAGGTGGTATTATGGTATAAATAATAATTATCTGTACACTCGGAAAAATTTCCATTAATAATTGATTCTGGTGGTGTGAATCTACTGGCAAATATAGCTGCTACACAACCAATGATACCAATTAGATACAGAACTCCTTTTGTCAGTAGTATCTTTGTTATTCTGACTTTCTTTGACTTCCTTGTACTTGTCTGTAGCGTAATTTCAGGAGCATTTTCTTGCTTTTTGTCATCATCGTCATCATCTTCTAATAGCTTGTCTGTTAATAATTCTCTGTCGTCTTGATCTTCGTTCTCATTCTCCTCAATCTCGTTCTCATTCTCCTCAATCTCGTTCTCATTCTCTCCCATGGTCTCATTCTCATTCCTTTCTTCATCACATTCTAATTCTTCTTCTAGCCTGACAGGTCTGTACTCCTGTAGCTCAATTCTCTCTCCTTCCTCCTCTTCATTTCTATGATGATGGCCTTCTTTCTCTCCTTCTCCTCTTTTCATGGCCAGTTGCGACTCTTTCTTCCAATTGAGACACAATAATATTATACCATAGCCGACCACTTGTGTTAGGCTAGCAGAGAATAGTCCAATCCACATACCAAAAGATTTTAAGCTAGTGAATATAGCTAAAGGAATTCCAATAGGCAGTCCTATTATATAAAATGCTATAAAATTGACTCCTGCTCCCCATAGCTGATGTCCAATACCACGAATAACTCCAGACATTACTCCCTGAAATAAAATATTAAAATATTTTCTAAATATCCACTTTTTTACTTGCAACTGATCGGTGATGATTACAAATCCCAAAAGTCGAATGACATTTGGAAGTTTTTCCATGACAGCTCTAAGCAAAGCAAATGTTCTATAAAATTTCTTTTACGTTTATCATCACTTACTGTTCAACATTGTATAGTTTTCCTATATTGCTTCCCATCCCTTCAACAACTGCAGATAAAATCAATACAACAACAGCTACGAAAGGAGGAAAGAATCAATTGTAACATGATTTTAAAAAAATTGTTTTCCTTACCATTAGCTCCAATACATACAATAGCAGAACGTTTGGCTTTGACAGGATTACCAGCTCCTAACTCATTACCAACTCTTATTGATGCTGCTACAGATAAACCCAATGATATCTATGAAGAAAAAAATAGTGTCACTCATTTCTCTTCTTTTAAAATTATCATGCATAATTAGCTCTTTTTTCTTCGCTTTCTCTTACCATGAATAAAAATGTAATTGTGTTAATCAAAATCGTATTAATTGCTAGTTCTACTTCTCCTAATGACCCAAGAACAAAAGCTGTGACTTCAAAGCTTCCCCACTCCACAGTAATCATACCAACCCCAGGAAGACCGAGTTTACAAAACTCCATCCAGCCATCAAAACAATCTAGAGTCCATCCTAAAAAATTAAAATCAGCATAATATAACTGCAATATAGACTATTATTACAAATACAGTGTCAATTCAACATTTGCATGTGAATGAATGCAAATACAGAATGTCATATTACATTGTAGCTTAGTGACTAAGCTTACCTCCCCATGTCTTTTTGTGGAGCTTCATGACTTTAATGTACAATATGAGTAGTAATGGCTGGACATAGTTTGAAATGACATATGCAACAGCTATACCACTAGAAAAAAAGGAAAAGATAGACAATATATTATAATTTCATGTTTTTAAGGTGTGCATAAGTAATGTAATACCTGAGTACTGAGATATCTGCTTGAGGTGAAGCTGAGGACAGATATCAAGAGACTCAGGTATTACACTACTTAGCATTTTTATGGTAGTACATATAAACTTACATTACTCCAAAATGGAAGACATAGACAAAGATTGCAATGATGATGACATGAATCACATTAGTAGCAAAAGCACAGAGAATGAAAGGCCAGACAATACTCTAATAGCATAATAATAGCATAATAATAATAATAATAATAACTTAGTAAAATTTCTTACTTGAGTTTGCAAAAATTTTTGCAGCATGGTAAACAGAAAAATGCCCTGAAAACAGATAAATTATTTATTCTATCATAATCACTGACTTACAGGAAGGCTAAGAGTCAAAATTTGGACTATTCTTCCAGTTAATCTAAATAAGAATAAATAGCATTAAAAAAAAGGATACACATACATGTCATGAAGCAAGGTTTACAGCCAATTCAAAATGTGGTACAAGATCAAATTGTACAACCAATTCATTACCATAACCACCCACATAATTTTTGGCTATTACGATGCATCATAAAACATTTCCTTACCTTGCTACACAGGGAGGCTGCTGTAATAATAATAGAAAGGATTCTGTGTTCAACAACAGCCAACAAATAAACAGTGCCGTTAATAAAAGGATGAGAAGACCTACAAAAAACCACAATTTATGATGTAATACATAATGTAATAATACTAATAATAATAATAATTGTTACATGAACTTTAGTCTGTACCTCTTTGAAATATTATTCCAACTCTTTTGTAATTCTTGTAGCCATACGTCTGTGAATTTATAAGATAATTAATAATAATGATAATTATTATTTTTATTACTTGAGCACAGAGTGTGTCTGCTGCACTTGAGAGACCTATTCCAATGGACAAACCAGTGACATTGATCATCTAAAAAATAAATGATTGATACATAATATACATATAGATCTAATGCAACGAATACATAAGATACAATATAAAATGCATATTGCTTACCGAATTTGCAAGAGCTATAAGTATCCATTTTTTATAAAAAACAAATAGAAAGAAAGAGTTATTGAAAATGATGAATTGTTTGTTTCTTCCTTTTTCTTCTTTCTTCCTCTCTCCCTCGTCCCTCCTCTCTCCCTCTCTCACTCTCCCCCTCCCTCTCTCTCGTTTATACCTAAACTATCTAAGTTAAGTGAGGTATTTTCCTCATCCGGTAAGTGACCAGCAAAAATCAGTGCAATTGAATAAATGGTTTGTTGAAGAACAAACGACAATCCCTAGACAAAAATACAATTGATAAAAGAATTCGTCACGTTGTACACTAACAATGATGCTAAGCATTTACATGTACATTATATGAAGCCAAGTTAAAAAAGCAAGATGTGAATTATGATAGTTCTGTCAACTGTTAACCACGACAAAAATAGGACTCAGTACGACCCACGAGACCTTTTACAAATAAAGGTGTATAAAAGAAACAAAATTACTATGACTTTAGTGACAGCTTCTTGCAACTAAGACTTACAAAAAATTTTTGAATGGGCTAACTTAGCCCTGACTATTATTAAATAAACAAGTAAACATTTAACACAAAATGCTCTGTATCACATCTTGTGTGACACAATACATAAATCTATTATCAGGTATAAATTAATGACACAGGATTATAATGGACACTACTTGTCCTAAATCAATTAAGACCTGTAAATGATTGTTTACCGACAAAAGCTTACAATTGGAATAGATAGTTTTGTAACAGTCCAGAGTTCGGCTATAACCCAGTAAGAGCATAGCCCCGACCAGAGGCGCCTAAAGAAGCTCCTTCCTTCCCAGACTCTCCTTTGTCTGCCTGTAAAAGAAGGAAGGAATGAAATGACGCCTTCGTGTCAAGATAATCGCTTTTAAAGATTCTAATACCATTACTTGGTGGCTTGGGTTCTGTTTGAATGCTCCAAGAACTGCTGCTCCCTTGCTCTATAGAATTGACCTCTTTACCATCTCTACCATCCACCATATTGCTAGATCTATATGACATTGACCTCTGCTGTTTTATTAATAGAATTCATATTATTTCATTTAAAAATGCCTCAAGCTTTTATAGGAGAGATGGCAGTCTGATGATGCAATAATGGGGAAATCTGTTGTAGCATAGCACTGCAGGGTATCATTCGAGGTATGATTATTACCAAATTAAATTTAAAATTAATAATGATACTATTAATAGCACATTACATCAGACCAGACGACCAGTCAAAACAAACAAATTATACATACAGTATAATTATAATAAATAATAACAATAAATTAATGTCAATAAACAATAAATTAATTACATGTATATATGATAATAACAATAACAATGACGAGATTTTTATTCAAGGAACATGCTGTTGAAAGACCTGCCAAGAAGCCATCGTCTTATTTCGCTCGTGCCAGCTCCAATCTCGTAGAGCTTTGCATCTCTAAGGAACCTACCAGTGGGGTAATCATTGATGTAGCCATTACCACCTAGAGAAAGGAAAGGAGGAGAAAAAATAGACGTTTAGATATGGAGAAGTATCTTTACTAATTTAGGAACTTTTATAATATTAATTTATGTATCACTTTATAATATATTATAATACATGTATAGTATATTTTAAAAAATATTAATTTATGTGTCACTTTAATTTAGTGATAAAAATAACTCACTAAACTCAATAAAATTAGCAATTAAATGTACTTCAGCTATTTTGAAACTTGCCTAAGCACTGGATAGCATCCAAAGCCACTTGAGTACAATTCTCTGCTGCATACAACAGAGCACCAGCACAATCCTTACTAGAGGTCTGCCCACCTGCGTCACAAGACCTCGCTACGGCATACACGTACGATCGACAGGCGCTAAGCCTCGTATACATGTCGGCCATTCTTCCCTGTAGCAGCTGGAACGTTCCTATCTTATGGTTAAACTGCTCTCTCATGTGCATGTAAGGGAAGGCTACGTCAATACATGCTTGCATTATTCCAATGGGACCACCTGCTAGTATGCACCTCTCATAGTCCAACCCACTCATTAGGATATAGACGCCTTTGTTTAGTTCACCTACTAAGTTACTAGCTGGAGAGACAGAGAGAAAGAGGGGGGGAGGGGGGGAGAAAGAGCTGTTAGTAAATTTTATACATGCATACATATATGTACATATACATGTATTTCTCAGCCTACTGTAGTGTAGCTACATGTAGGACAATTTTTATCATACATGTACATGTACATGTACATGTACTCACATATTTATAAGTTGTACATTGCATTTAAAGCTATTGTTATCTGGTGATGCTTACCAGGGACTTTGCAATTATCAAATATCAGTTCTCCCGTATTTGAGCCTCTCATGCCTAGTTTGTCAAGCTTTGGGCCAGTACTGAATCCTTCCATACCCTAGAGACATTAAAAAAGAAAAAAAGATGAAGAAAAAGAGAGGGAGAATTAGAAAAGAATAACAGTAAAATACTTGTATATTAATAGTATAATTATATATTCAATACAACATACCCTTTCAATTATGAATGTACTTATGCCGTGTTCTTTCTTATCAGGATCTGTTTTAGCATACACTATCAGTACATCAGCATCAGGGCCATTGGTGATCCAAAACTTGGAGCCATTTAATATGTAATAATCACCTTTAAGGAAGAGAAAGGAGGAGAAGGAGGAGTGAAAGAAAGAAAAGGAAAAGTATACAAATGAAAGTAAAAGAGAGACAATCATAATAAATATATTAAAGAAGAATAATAAAATTAAAGTGAAAAAGAGATACAGGTTTCTTTTCTTGCCTTTCTTGTCAGCTCTTAATTTCATAGAGACGACATCGGAGCCTGAGCCAGTTTCACTCATAGCCAAAGCACCAATGTGTTCACCACTGATCAACTGAAGTAAGACAAATAACAGAAAAATTTTCAAATATAATAAGTATAATATTTCATGATGTGAACCCATTAAAAGTAGAGTAGAGTAACTTTAAAAATTCGCAAAAAATCCGAATTTGATCGGAATCAGCTCAAACTTTCTACACAACATAAAAACATGTATATGTATTGGAAAATGTTATAAAAATTGAGAATTCCCTACTTGACATTTTTGGCAAAACTTGGCCAACGCCCCTGTACTATAGTACAGGGACTTTGACCCAATTTTTTGAGCAACTTTAAAAATTCGTAAAAAATCCAAATTTGATCGGAATCAGCTCAAACTTTCTACGCAATATAAGTACATGCATATGTATCAGAAAATGTTATAAAAATTGAGAATCCTCTACTTTTCAATTTTGGTGAAATTCGGCCAACACCCCTGTACTATATAGTACAGGGACTTTGGCTCGATTCTGGAGCAACTTTAAAAGATCATAAAAAGTACAGGTCCAATCGGAATCAGCTCAAACTTTCCACACAACATAAGAATATGTATATGCAAGAGAAAGTATAAGAAAATGACAAATTCCTTCCCTTTCAATTTTGGCAAAATTTGCCCAACACCCCTGTACTATATAGTACAGGGACTTTGACACAATTTTTGAACAACTTCCTACAGTCCTAGTCACTTACTTTTGGTAAATATTTCTCCTTCTGTTCCTCTGAGCCGTTCCTCACTATTTGATTGACACAGAGATTGGAGTGAGCGCCATAGCTGAGGGCAATGGCTGCACTAACTCGTGACATCTCCTCAACGATCAGCGTCTGCTCCAAATACCCAAGATTAGCTCCATCATACTTCTCTACAATACAAGTAATGATAATGGAGAATTATCATATACAGTGAGGACAAAATCTTTTTGTTATTCATCCTACAATGTACTGTGTAGCTAAAACAATAAAACCCAATAATAAAATCCATCATTTCATATGGCAATGAAACTAACGATTTACATAATAATTAATTTTGCTACATTAAAATTTGTTATTAATTTGCAAAAAAACATGGTACATGTATTTAATGCAAACCTGGAGCTGTTATTCCTAGTAGACCCATTTTTCCTAGCTTCTTCCAAAAATCCTAAAAAATAAAGAAAGCACAAAAATATATACAGCAACACACTTTTATATTATATAATCAAACGTAATCACAATTACATGTAAAGTGAACATGTAATTCTATTGTTCATACTCACTCTCATTTGTGGGAAGTGATTATCTCTGTCAATCTGATCAGCTACTGGACCTAACTCCTTCTCACAGAAGTTCCTGATAGTCTCCCTCAACTAAAGAATGACACAAAACACACACATAACTTAACAATAGAATAATGTCTATACTTGTATTTGCTCTTTCTTGAGGCCACTGAGAACGTCATCAACCGGTACATGATTTGAGTTGTGTCTGGTGAGCAAGAGAGGGGCAGGAGAAGGTAGAGAAAGAGGCCTAAACCTCACAAAAGTAGAGAAAGCATTTCTGAGAGCCATTGAATATTGTTTTCAACTAAGCCACTCCCCAAAGAGGGGTGTGCACGTGCCTCTTGTTGCTTATGAATAATTAATGAAGCATCATCAGGCATGTAAGTGAGAGAAAGAACATTAAAAATAATTTTAATAATAAAAATTTGGAACACAAAAAAATATACATGATTCTAGTTAGTAGCCTTCGTAAATCCTTGGTGTACTGTCTCTACTGTCGCTTCTATGTAACATCCCTTTTTTGCTTGGTGAGACCAGAGGCATCTTCTCCACAGGCATGCTCCTTCTGCTTGGCTTCCTATAAATTTAAAATAATGATTAACTTGGTTTTGAAAGATGAAAAAAGGTCTTACCATATGTTTTTATACAGTACAGCAATAACAATTGCTAGTATGCCAATAAAAACTAGAAAGAAATTATAGAAAGAAAGTGTAAAAATAGGGCAGCTGCAACTATTGATGTTTGTAAGATACACTTGGGTATTAATAAAGATATAAAAATATTAGGATAGTACTCACCGGCAATACCAATTGATACAAGCACCCAAAACCAGACAGTTGGATTGCAAACCTACTCACACAGAAATACAATCATCGATACAGCCATTACAATTACTTACAGTGTGATCATCATCTACTGAAAACAAAGCAGTGAGGCAATGACTAGGATCAACAGAGCCTGCAGGACAGAATTGAGTCCCGTTGCATTTTATTGGTTTACTGGATGGATTCTATGGAACAAAGATATGACATATACAGATGTACATATAGAATAGGTAACATACATGTATATGCTAAGAATAATAATTAAAGCAAACACCTAATACTAACAATATATACAACGTAAATAAATAGATATGTCTATAATTTGCACATGTACACATGCTGTGTTTAACCTACAGGGCAGTAGTGTCCAGCAGGACATAGAGTGCAATTATTTTGAGCTGAGAGTAACTGATAATATCCAGAGGCACAGAGCGAGCAGTTTACCATTGAAGAGTTTTTAAAGTAACCTAATGGCAAATGCATGTACATATATAAGGCATTACATATTAGGTGTGAATACTAGACTTAGTACATACCGTATCGTGCTTTATTTTGGCGGCACTTTATTTTTGGTGATTTTGCTGTAAAATTGTAATTGGCGGTTTTTAATTTGGCGATTTTTGTGTACACGTGCATTACTGAGCATGCGCATTAATGATTGACAGTTTTAATATTGGTGATTCTGCTTGCAGACCGCCAGTCGCCAAAATAAAATTCTGCCAAATTAAAGCGTTATACGGTATGTATCTACACCTGGCTATGTATCTATAAAGTATATTTAGGTACCTGGTTTGCAAGACCGGCAGTTCATAGGATCTTCAGGTTCGTAACCAATTGAACAACTTTCACAAGAGGAACAACCTAATTCACTGGAGGAGACAAAGCAGTACAATAAAAATTTATTATTACATTAGTATATTTTATAGAACTTATATAAGTTTAACTTACTTGCATATTTTACCATCAGGGCAGTCTCTACATGTGCCCCATCCTCTCTCCGCATACTTTCCTAAAGAGAAAAAGAGAAATTAGAAGAGAGAGAGAGTAAGAGAGAGGAACCAACACATCATTGATAAAAGGCAGTTAAAAGTCTTTTTAGTATAATAATTAAATGTGTACTTTACCTGGCTGGCATGAGCTACAGTTTTCACCAATTTTTGAGACAGTTCCTGGATCACAAGGCCAACAATTCACACAACTGGTCTCACTGTTAAAAAATAATTGTAAAAGTAGATACCGTATGGTCTGATAGAATACCGTAGGTCGGGATATATTCGCGGCTGCAATTATTCGCGGTCATAAAAAAAATCAATTAAAAACCATGGAAACCGAGGTGTTATTTTAATTGAAAACGGCGCGATAGTGAAGAAAAGCACCTTGCTGCAGTGTTCTTGAGCTGTTGTCCTTCTTGTGTCACTAAGCCTTGGGCTCTTTGGAGCTGCTTTACCGGTTCTTTTCAGAACTAGTGCCTCGCCGTATTTTAGGATTCTCCACCCATTCTAGTTAGTGTTTATTGACTTGGGCGTGGTTTATTATCACCACCACGCGGACCAGCAACAATTTGCAGCAAAGAGGCTGAAAGAGCTCTGAGGTAGCGGTCCATACAAGAAGTTAACAGATAGAGAAGGACTCGCTATTGGTGAATGGCTCCACTATAGCTGCTAAAGAACAGATGAATAGCTGAACACTAAACACGTGGTCTTAATTGTCATAGCAACGCTCTAACAGTTTCCATGGTTTTTAATTGAATTTTTTATGACCGCGAATAATTGCAGCCGCGAATATATCCCGACCTACGGTATCTTAGCTCACTTGCAAACACTCCCTGTAGCACAAGGAAGACAGAGTCGACTTCCAGTGACATTGGCAAAAGTTCCTACAATTTAATGATATGTTTTGTGAATGCAAGTATGTTGTATACCCTTGTCACACTCTAGGCAATCCGTTTGACCGATTTCATCTTGATAATGACCAGTGCTACAGTTATTGCATTGACCACAGCCACCATTCCTATTGAGAGAAAGAGAGAGAGAGTATAGTAAATTACAAATTTAACAACACTAAGCATAATTTGTTTGGAGCTGCTAAAATCGCATGCATAAATATCTACTAACATTCTGAAGTATGTAAGGCTCATTCTAAAGGCCAAATCAATAGCAATACATGCAATGCATTGATAGCTATACTCAGTAACTGATTATTATACAATAGTATACACTGATAGATAGGCTTTGGCACAATCCTACTCAACTATGTTTAAAATAACTGTTGAGATGGAAAGGAATGATAAAAGTTCAAGCCTATTTATGTACACATGAACAAACATACAAGCACACAAACATATGTTTAGTTATAAATCTAATGCAAGTGACACATGATTTATACTGCCACTCACACAAAAACTGGCCAAAAACATGTACATGTACTCACTTGCAGATAGTTCCAACTGGACACGGCTTACATTCAGCTTGACCTCTCAATGTTTGGTTATGTCCTTCAGGACAAGCTGTACACCCTGTATTATTAATACCAGCAGCAAAAGATCCTATTAGTATTGAATAAATGAATAAATAGAACAGGCTCTTATTATTCAAGTTTTACCAGGTTCACAATGAATGCATTGTGATTGACCGGTTTCGTTTGTGAATGATCCTGGATCACAAGCTTGACATTTTGTAAGACCAGGAACACTATAGTAATAATATTAATATGCAACATAATAAATAGTTTAAAGGGATAGGCTTTAAGCTTTCTAGCAGCAAGAAAACATAAAAATACCGTCTAAAAACTTCTCTAGAAGCATTAGAAGGTAGAGAGAACCTCTATAAGTCTTAATAAGAATCCAGCTATGCATGCAAGGTGGTGAAAACACTGAATTATAGGAATATTTTTATACTTAGCACTCTTGTATGAGCATGCGAGCAATGCTATTCAATACAATAAGTGCTTTAGAAAATGCTAATATACACTGAGAATCAATAGCATGTCTATATTACCCAGCAAAGTATCCTTTATCACACAGTTTGCAACTCTCCTGTCCTTCCTGATCACTGTACTGTCCTTTGGGACAATCCGTGCATGCATCAGTACCATTGCATTGACCTGTTTTACACTCCTTGCAGCCATCAGTAGCTATAGTTAAGAGAGGAGGGGATATATATAAGTAAGATTGTGGGTATTAAAGATAGTACTTGTGTCAGCATATGTTCCAGCAGGACAGTCGACGCATTCTTCTACAAAAGAGAAAATAACGAGTGTACGTAACAATTAGAGCTTGAATGGTATCCATGCAAGCCATTCAAGTCAAGATGAGAGGGAGGAGGCTCTCTTACCTATGTCGTTCTCATCCAGGGAAGTGGATCCTCCCCAAAAGCAAGACAGCACTACCAGCAGTGCTACAAGGACGTGATGTCTGTATTGCATGTCTCGCTGGAGGAGAAAAGAGAGGCTAGCCAGGCTCCTCTATCATGCAAATGGTCACGCCTTTATGAAGACCTTGTAAGGCAAAGCAAGGTAGTCACATGCAGTCCAATGAATATGATCAGAATCTGAATAGATTTAGACCATAATTTTCATTACTGTGGTAAAAGAAATTATTCCTTAAACATCAAACAATCCTGTATTAAGAATGAATCAGAAAAAATCCTTAGCTTTAATGCTATTATACATATGCAGAAAGTTTGAGCTCATTTTGAAGCTGATATTCTAAACAAATTTCTGAGTTAAACTTGCAAGTTTTTTAGTCCAAATTGATTTTTGAAATAGACTTTAATAGATACACATACAGTGAATGCAATAATGTATTATATATTATTATAAAAGTAATGATAATGATACACACATACAACTCAAGAACACATGCATTGGAGCAAAGTCTCAATCTCTCAGTGTAATGATGAAGAAGGAGATGGAAGGAGCAGGCTGAAAGCTTTGTTACACGTCAAGCGAGATAGTTTGAAAACGGGGAGACGATAAAAACTAAATAAATAATAATAATAGTTAATACATGTACATACATACATGTACATACATACAGGGTTACCCACTAAGTGAGCTAAACAGCATTAGCTTCATGAGCTGACAAGCACTACAATATAGTACGTACATGGCATTTGGAGCAACTTTAAAAAGTCATAAAAAATCCAAATTTGATTGGAATCACCTCAAACTTTCTATACAGCATAAGTACATGTATATGTATCAGAAAACATTATAAAAATTGAGAATTCTCTACTTGACATTTTTGGCAAAATTTGGCCGACGCCCCTGTACTATAGTACAGGGACTTTGACCCAATTTTGGAACAACTTTAAAAATTCATTAAAAAATCCGAATTTGATTGGAATCAGCTCAAACTTTCTACACAACATAAGAACTTGTATATGTATCAGAAAATGTTATAAAAATTGAGAATTCTCTACTTAACATTTTTGGCAAAATTTGGCCGACGCCCCTGTACTATAGTACAGGGACTTTGACCCAATTTTGGAACAACTTTAAAAATTCATAAAAAATCTAAATTTGATCGGAATCAGCTCAAACTTTCTACACAACATAAAAACATGTATATGCATCAGAAAACATAATAAAAATTGCAAATTCTGTCCTAGCCATTTTTGACAAAAAATACCCGTTTGACCAAATTTTTGAGTAACTTCAGAATCATCTGACAAGAAGTTGCATGAGCACCTACATGTACATGTATAATACCAGCACTTACTTTATTTGTGGAGCAGAGCAACTAAATGATGCCAGTATCATAAGTGGAAAAGCCAAAGCAAAGACGCATGTACTACAAAAGAGAAAACTGATCTATTTTAAAGTTCAAACTCTCCTTACCCTAGTACAGTATTTCCCACTGTGTGTCTTAACACTTCTTGGCTGCCCCCAAAAGGAGAGAGAAGAGGAGCAGAAGTGATGAGTGAGAGGACAAGACCAAATCCAAGGAAATATGGCCACTGGAGCTCAATGTAACTCAGCCTCTTCTGTACAGTAATACCTTTCAAGAGTGCAGAGTAGTTAATAATGTATATGGAACTTAGAGTAGTAATAATGTATATCCAACTGTGCTAATACCTTGATAGAACCACTTGTACTCAAAGCTGTACAGTGAATAGAGGAATGACATGTGAATTAATGATAGGGCTGAGCCCCCAACTGGTAAGAAGTTTACTGCCGTTGACTACATGGGGAGATGGATGAAATAAAGGATCAATGTATGAAATAATAAATGACATAAAGAATGAGTGTATCTTTGACTGCAAGGAGAGGGTGTATACTTGTATTGTGAAGACTATTTCTATAGCCATTGCATAAAGGAGATCGGTAATCATTAATTTGAAATTCCACCTGCAAGTTATAATTGTAAGGAATCTCTTGATTAACTTCTCACCTTGATGGCTTCTTCTTAAGTGATTTCGCTGCTTGATCATTTGCCTCAATTGCAATCTCCTAAATAGAAAAAAGAAGGACTTTCTTTATTTAAAAAATCGTGCCATACCCTGAACCATATGCTGTTTATTGGAGTACAAATGAGGAACATTGGTAACATCCATAGACCAGTGAATGTGTAAGACAGCAACGACTCCAACCAAGACAACTGCTCAGAAGTTAAATCCTTACCAAAGAGACCTAGAAAAGAAAAGAAAAATAAAATAGAAGAGAGGAAGATCAGTAAGTGTTTCTTTAATATTTTGGCAATTTTCCAGTTGCCAAATCAATTGCTTCTAAATTGATTAATAATTAATAATACTACAGAATTTCCCTTTCCTCTGTCTCCCTTACTCTTACCTAATGTCCAGCTGGTCAGTAGCAATACTACTGGCAGAACAACATGTTCAAACAAGAGTATACTTGACTAATAAGAATAAAGGAAGAGAGAGAGGGGGAGAAGGGGAGGGTGAGTGGTTACGTCATGATTACTTGATCACTCACAGCTAGAATGAATCCGTTTAATATGAATGATAGGCCCACTTTGCTTCTTATTTTACTATTCCTAATAGCAAGCAACCCCAAAATATAAAGTACAACCACAATACTGATTAATTCACACTTTATAACTAGTCTATTTCTCACTTGTAAACTATGCTTAAGGCAAATACACAGCCTAGTATCACGTCTTTTATCCCACGGAGAAAAGATAATACTCCTTCAAAGAACAGAGTAGAAAGAGAAGTAGAGAAACTTCTTTCATCTTCAGACATTGTTGTTGACTGAAGATGTGGGCGTGCATGAAGGCGTTGTCTTATTGCAGTTTAGATCTATATTGCATCATGATTGTGATTGCATGGTTTTAAAATTCTTTACAATAGATAGCTGGTTATCTGGGTGATTAATCTAATTGTTTTTCTTGCTGTGCTGTACTGCCACCCCTTCATACCATAGTCCATCTTTGGTGGTGTAATAAATCTGCTGCAAAGTCATACTGTCAAGTCATCCGTTTGCAAAGAGATCTGGAAGTTAAAATGGGCATTAGAGGCTTTAAAACTTACATGCTCAACTCCTACAATTGGAAAGAGATAGGCAAAGATGCTCCGCAGCTAAGTGGACCACTGGTGATAGATGCAATGGGTATCTGCTACTGCCTTTACGATGACATCGACTGGAAACATGGCGGACAATACAAAGAGCTTGAGCAAAAATGCATCGATTTGGTTACAAACCTGCGCAAATCCAATATAGAACCAATTTTTGTATTTGATGGTGTGGACTACAAAGGGGAAAAAGGGGCAACTCTGGTAAAAAGGAAAAAGGATGGTATAGAGAAAATTTCTTCTTACCTTTTGACTGGTCGCATTACCGACTCTTCTTGTCTACCAATTTTTGCTAGGCTAGTAATGTCAGAGGCAATAAGAGAAATGAATGTTCCTTTTATTGTTGCCGATGGAGATTCAGATAGTTTGACTGCATCTATAGCTAATTATCATGGATGTCCAGTTCTCTCCAATGATTCTGATTTTTTCGTATTCAACGTTGAAGGTGGCTACATACCTTTTGAGTCGTTTGATTGTAAGCATCACATTACTGGGCAGATTTACTACTGGACTGATTTCGTTTCAACTTTTCGTGACCCCGATATTGTTTATCTCATACCTGCTCTTGCTAGCAATGATTTTATTTCTGAAAGTGTACAGCAGGATGTAATGGCAGCAATTAACCCAAGATCATTTTCAAGCATTTTTGCAACAAGAGGGAGGTTTAGCCGTGCAAGACGAACAAGTGGGAGCAGTAACAAAATATTTGATGTCGTGAATTATATCCGTTCATTTTCGTCGGTGGAGGAATTCTTCTTGTCTTGTCCCTGCAAGGCTGAAAGTGAAGCAGTCATTAGAGAAAACTTTCACAAGGCAAAAGAAATGTACACCATTGATAAAATAAGCATGGAAGATGCTATGAAGAGCACAGTACTTGAAACAGCCATTGGGACACCACTACCTTCATGGATACTTGAGCAATATCGTGCTGGATGCTTCTCAACCTCAGTGCTAGATCCAATGATTCTCAATGAATGTATGCTACCAACTACTGTAGATAATCCCTGGAAAAATTCCTCTATGAAAATTGGTGTACCTTTAAGACAACACTTGTATGGTTTATTAAAACCTTACCTAAAGGAACAAAAAATTAAAGAAGGAATGCGTGTTGGCCGTAATGACATGAGATATATTTCTGTTGGGCCAGCGAGATTGGAGGACTGTCAAAGTTCAGATCTTTGTGGTATATTTGGAGTCTCGCCTGATGAATTAGACCAGTTTGAAGATAAATGGAAGCTGGTTGCACTGTCCTTGCATTACTGGAGCAGGAATGCTGAGGGCCTTACTCAGCAACACATTGATGCTCTTCTCTTTTGTTTTGTAATTTGTTCAAGTGAGGAAGGAAGAGATGCAGGAAGAGATGTCATAAGTGAGTCTAACACAACAAGGTCAAGACAGTTTACTGATCATCAGCTTGACTGCCTACACTCTTTTTCAATGTGGCAATGTGTATACTACGAGGCAATGAAACTGAATGACTTCCTCAAGCGTCCTCTTGACTTTACTTCTCCAGTTATGTTTGATGGTAAAATCTGCATGTTTTGTGCTTGCTTGGGAGAAATAGAATTTGATGGCATCAAAGCAAGCATGATGGTAACTGGATCTCCTTTAGAGTGTCTCTACAAAAATTTAATGAATGTGTGCAAGTTGCCGCAAAGTACACAATAACTAACTAACATTATTTTTTACTTCATAAATAATACTTATTATAGAGTACATAATACATTTAGATATCATAATTATTATTCTTGTTGTGTAATCTTTCTTAAAATAATTAAATTTCATGATGAACATGAAGTCAACAGTTTAAGGCGTGGCTTGTTGAAGGGTGTGGCTGATCTGCATTTTTGAAATTCAAGCACATCATGGGTATTTGGGGCCTTACAACCTACATTAAAAAGAATTACAAATGGAAAGAGATAGGAAAAGATCCTCCACTAACAGGCCCTTTGCTGATAGACGCCATGAGCTGCTGTTACTCTCTTTATGACGGGATAGACTGGAAATATGGCGGCCAGTACGAAGAGCTTGATCAGAAATGTAGGGCTTTCTTGACCAACCTAAAAGAATCCGGTATAGAGCCTATTCTTGTGTTTGATGGTGTGGATTACGAAGGAGAGAAAGGCCCAGTTATCCTAAAGAGGAGAAAGGAGACAGCAGAATGCGTTTCGTCCTGCCTTTTGTATGGTAGTTATCCTAAAGATGGTCGTTCATGTTTGCCAGCCTTTGCTAAAGTAGTCTTTATGGAGGTACTAAAAGAATTTAGGATTCCCTTTATTGTTGCTGATGGAGATGCAGATAATTTGACTGCGTCCATAGCAAACTTTTATGGCTACCCGGTCCTCTCTAGTGATTCCGATTATTACATTTTCAATGTTAAAGGCGGTTACATGCCTTTTGAGTACTTCTATTGGGAGTCAAAACCAATATATGGAAAAATTTACCATTCAAGCAATTTTTCTGCAACATTCCGTGACCCTGAGATTATTTACCTGATACCGGCACTGATTGGCAATGATTTCCTTAAGTCTCCAGAAATAAGACGAGATGTGATTACCTCAGTCATTGATGGAGGGGCAGAGGCAGAGGCAGGAGGTAGGAGAGGTCATACTATTTATAGCGATGAATTGGTTGCTTGCATTGCTTCTTTCTCATCAGTTGAGGAATTCCTCTCCTACCTCTCTAGCTCCTGCAAGTCAGAGCAAGTGATGGCTATCAGAGAAAACTTTGACAAGGCAAAAGAAATGTACAGCATTGATAAAATAAGCATAGATGATGCCAGAAAGAGCACAGAGTTAAAGACAGCCAATGGGACACCACTGCCTTCATGAATACTCGAGCAATATCGTGAGAGGATATCATAGAGGATATCGGTAATCATTAATTTGAAATTCCACCTGCAAGTTATAATTGTAAGGAATCTCTTGATTAACTTCTCACCTTGATGGCTTCTTCTTAAGTGATTTCGCTGCTTGATCATTTGCTTCAATTGCAATCTCCTAAATAGAAAAAAAGGACTTTCTTTATTAAAAAAATCATGTCATACCCTGAACCATATGCTGTATATTGGAGTACAAATGAGGAACATTGGTAACATCCATAGACCAGTGAAAGTGTAAGAGAGCAACGACTCCAACCAAGACAACTGCTCAGAAGTTAAATCCTTACCAAAAAAACCTATAAAAGAAAAGAAAGATAAAATAGAAGATAGGAAAATCAGTTAGTGTTTCTTTAATATTTTGGCAATTCTCCAGTTGCCAAATCAATTGCTTCCAAATTGATTAATTATCAATAATACTACAGAATGTCTCTTTCCTCTGTCTCCCTTACTTTTACCTAATGTCCAGCTGGTCAGTAGCAATACTACCGGTAAAACAACATGTTCAAACAAGAGTATACTTGACTATAAAAAATTAAGGAAGAGGGAGAAGGGGGAGGGTGAGTGGTTACGTCATGATTACTTGATCACTCACAGCTAGAATGAATCCATTTAATATGAATGATAGGCCCACTTTGCTTCTTATTTTACTATTCCTAATAGAAGGGACCCCAAAACATGTAAAATCCATGGTAGGTAAAATTATAATACTACTCATTATTAATCCTGATTAATTCACACTTTATAACTAGTTTATTTCTCACTTATAAACAATGCTCAAGGCAAATACACAGCCTAGTATCACGTCTTTGATCCCACGAAGAAAAGACAGTATTCCTTCAAAGAACAGAGTAGAAAGAGAAGCAGAGAAATGCATTTCATCGTTAGAGTTCGACATTATTTTTTAAATGGGCGTGGGTGTTAAAATTAAGGGTAGAGGGTGTGGCTAGGATTAATTTTTGTAAAATTAGGTAAAAGAAAGAGGGGCGAAATGGGCATCAGAGACTTTCAAAGTTATATGCTCAAATCCGGTAATTTGACGCAAATAGGTAGAGGTATTCAGGGGCCACTATTAATAGATGGAATGGCTGCTTGCTACCGTCTTTACAGGGAACTCGACTGGAAAAATGGAGGGCAGTATAAAGAGCTGGAGCATAAATGTATTGATTTCGTTACAAACCTGCGCAAATCCAATATAGAACCGATTTTCGTATTTGATGGTGTGGACTACAAAGGGGAAAAGAAGCAGACTCTAGTAAGGAGAAGAATGACTGTGGACAAAATTTCATCTTACCTACTGACTGACTGCATTTCTGACTGCTCTTGCATACCAATTTTTGCTAGAATAGTAATGTCAGAGGTATTAAGACAAATGAAAGTTCCCTTTATCGTTGCTGATGGAGATGCAGATAGTTTGACTGCATCTATAGCTAATTATTATAAATGTCCAGTTCTTTCCAATGATTCTGATTTTTTCTTATACAACGTTGAAGGTGGCTACATACCTTTTCAATCGTTCGATTGTACTAAGTGTTGCATTACTGGAAACATTTACAACTGGACTGATTTCGCTTCAATTTTTCGTAACCCTGATATTGTTTACCTCATACCTGCCCTTGCTAGCAATGATTTTATTTCTGAAAGTGTAGAGCATGATGTAATGGCAGTAATCAACAAAGGATCATCGTCGAGCATTTTTGCAACAAGAGGGAGGTTTGGCCGTGCGAGACGAACAAGTGGGAGCAGTAACAGGATATTTGATGTGGTAGATTATATTCGTTCATCTTCATCGGTGGAAGAATTCTTCTTGTCATGTTCCTTCAAGGCTGCATGAAAGTGTAGCAATCATTCGAGAAAACTTTCACAAGGCAAAAGAAATGTACACGGTTGATGCAATAAGCATGGAAGATGCTATGAAGAACACAGAACTGGAAACAGCCACCGGGACACCATTGCCTTCATGGATACTTGAGCAATATCGTGCTGGATGCTTCTCAACCTCAGTGCTAGATCCAATGATTCTAAACAAATGCATATGGCTACCAGCTACCATAGATAATCCTAAAAAAGAATCATCAATGAAGATTGGTTTACCTCTAAGGAGGCACTTGTATGGCTTATTAAAACCTTATCTAAAGGAACAAAAAGTTAAAGAAATAATGCGTGTTGGCAATGACATGCAACATATTTCTGTTGGGCCAATCAAATTGGAGCATCAAGGTCTAGATCAATTTGAGACGCTTTGTTATATATTTGAAGTCTTACCTGATGAATTGGGCCAGTTTGAAGATAAATGGAAGCTGGTTGCACTGTCCTTGCATTACTGGAGCAGGAATGCTGAGGACCTTACTTGGCAACAGATTGATTCTCTTCTCTTTTGTTTTGTAATTTGTTCAAGTGAGGAAGGAAGGTACATAGCAAGAGAGTTGATTCACCAGTGTCATTTTCAGGGTAAAAGACAGTTTACTGATCACCAGCTTGACAACCTCCACTCTTTCTCAATGTGGCAATGTGTGTACTATGAGGCAATGAAACTGAATGACTTCCTCAAACGTCCGCTTGATTTTACTTCTCCTGCTGTTATGTTTGATGGTAAAGTCTGCATGCTTTGTGCTGGCTTGAAAGAATCAGAATTTGACAAGGTACGTATGATGGTAACCGGATCTCCTTTAAAGAGTCTCTACAAAAATTTAATGAATGTGTGCAAGTTGCCGCAAAGTACACAATAACTAACTAACATTATTTTTTACTTCATAAAAAATTAGTACATAATACATTTAGATATCATAATTATTATTCTTGTGTAATCTTTCTTAAAATAATTAAATTTCATGATGAACATGAAGTCACACCCGGTTAGCGCATTATTCCTGGATAGTTGTCCGGAGTTAGGTGTAACTGTTCCTGGAAACTATCCATAGGGATAGACACTATGAATAATAAGTAGTTTAGCTTAATTAATGATTAATGAATAAGGGGGAGGGATGTCAAGGAGCTATGGAGGCTCACTCAGGAGCTCGCTCAGGAGGCTGAAAGCCTGAAACATCAAGAAAGGCAGCTCAGTGGATCATGGTTTTTTAAATCACGAAGTCGATGGAGTACTGGTTAGTATCTAGTAGGCTTACATGTATATAAACATTATCCAGTAGTCAATTACTGAATATATACATATATACATAATCCATTACTATTAGTCGAGCTATTAGTACTTATGGTTGCTGTACAAGTTGCAGCCAGTATTTAACTGTTCATTTGATATTGTTCCTTAGTCCTTGTCCATGCATATTATGTTTTTACAGTTGAAATAATAATAATAATAATAATAATTATTATTATTATTATTATTATTATTATTATTATTATTATTATTATTATTATTATTATTATTATTATTGCAGTAAAGCATATTACTGTTACTATTACAATAAGCCATTGTTATTAATAAAAAAATAATGTTGTAATTTAAGTGGTTTTAAGGTGTCTGTGCATTGGATTTTTTTGCCGGCATGAAGTTTTTTAGAAAGGCATCAGTCATCGGGCACAGGATGAAAAGCCTCTGCATTGATTAGTTGTTTCCAGCTATACTTGTTGTTGTCACTCATAGCATATTGCTATACATGTAATACCAGTCTGTGTTGTATTATGGGAATTACATTATACTGAATTACTTCCTGATGTTCACAAAAACTCTTGCTTTTACTATTATGCTACTTTACTTAGTACCCTGTAATCATTACTATTGCCCCAGGGTGTTGTGTCTGTGCACCATATGGTTTGTGTCTGTGTGCATAAGATTTACAAGCAGCCATCAATCATGCAGTCTAAGCTAACTTGCAATGTGGTATTATAATAATCCTTATAGCTGTTTATGCATCTTGTAATAGTATACTGAATAATACGCAATCTTGACATGTACGTGTGTTGTTAATAAGTACTTAAGGGTGGAAATATTGAATGTTGTTTTACCAGCACAATATCTCATTTTGATATCACAATAATTACTAATAATTGTGTTCATCAAAGCTGTTACAATAACAATGATCCTTTGTAATGGTTCCTAGCCTAGAAAATTCAACACAGTACATGTAACTTAGTCTAAATTAGTAGTGGTACCTTTTACATCACACTTGTGCTAAGGGTTACGATATTTGATTACATGTACCACTCACATGTATAGCCTAGAAATGATTATATTCTGTTAGCTACAATATTATCATGATAGTTACTAAATACCTTAGAGTGACTTTTAATTGCGGGTACTAAATTTTTGCGATTTTAGCCCAAGGTAGATTTTGCTGGTATTAAAAATTGCGATTAAGTAATTATTACTAATAGTTATATGGCATCATGATGTCATTATTAATAATTGCGCGTATTAATAATTGCGATTTTTAACCCAAACGCAAAATTCGCAATTAATAGTACCCGCATTTAAAAGTAACCTTAAGGTACTGATATATTGCCCATCCTTATTGGTACTGCATTTCTCTATTCTCATCGTTGTGTTCCTTGACCCCTATTCTTGTATATCTTAATTTGTCTCGTATTGACATTTCTTCCTCTCTTTTGCCTTCTCTCCTCCTAGTATGTGTACATGTACATCTAACTTTTGCTCTTTCTCTTTTCTTCCTATATAGGATTCTCCTATCTCTTATGTTCTTTGTCTTCTTGTGTATAATACAGTTCCTTACTGATACTATAAGCTTGTGTTAACACATGTACATCAATGTCATGTTTTTTATATTATTTATTATTATAGTACATTTTTGAATCACAGACACATTGCGTGTCAAGAATCAAGATTCCATTTCCGGCAAAAGATGTGGGAGCAGAACTATCCTAACAACATGATGGTAAGACACAATTCACAATACAGTGCATGTTTTATTCAGTGCATGTACACATGTACAGTAAATGAGAGATAGTGAGTGTCCTTTGGTCAGTAATAATTGATGTATCATTTATTGTACAGGAGAATGGAATTAAGACAAAATGCTAAGAATATTCAGAGCATGTCCAATTTAAACAAGTACAATGTTTAAACATCAAAATTACTTAACATTACCATCTCTTTTATCTCTCTCTTTTAGTGCCGTTAACTACTCATAATCAATAAACAGTTTGTTCCATGGACATTAACTTATTACTTAGAGAAAATGATGTGTTGAGATTAATATGCACTAATGCAATGGTAAGTGGTATGTTGTGTACATGTACATGTATTTGAGTCAATTGATTACTGAGTAACTGTAATGGTAATTGTCACAGGCCTATGTCACTGACTATACATGTATTCTTCATTATGTCTCACATAAACCCATTAACAATGACATTGCCTTCTGAGCACAGATGGCAATACAGTTACCATTGCCATTACTATTACCTTTGTAATAACAATTCAGTGCTGTACACCTTCCTCTCTTTCCTCTTTTTGTTTCTCTATCTCTTTAGTGTCACCATTTTCTTGATGCATCAAGCTTAGGAGATACTGAGGTCATCAATGAGTCTTGCATTCAAGTGAGGTCAATTATACATTTTCCCTATTTACATTTCTTTTCATGTTTATAGGCTTGCTGTCTTTCAAAATTAGGACACTGTACATAAACTTGCATTTTTGTGTTCTTTTTATAATGTTGTAATTGTTTTTGTTACCTAAAATAACTATTCTTTAATACTATAATGCGATAGCAGTCCATGAACTGATGCCACAATGCTAGAAAAGCCAAAAGCTGTCTAGGCAAAGTTGTTCTTCACTTGATCCAGGGATGAGAAATTTACCTATTGGCTCATTGTAGTTGGATAATGGTAATATTTTTTAAAAGTCTGTTAGCAGTGCAATTCCGATTGTTGTCTGGTATCAGCAGGTAGGTATGCAAATTTACTTTTTTTGAAAAATAAAAGTATTAAATTTGAATGAACAACTACAGAGATAATCAGCTAAACATACTTTCTGCATACTTAATGAGGGGGTGGGACTGAAGGTTTTCAGCTGGAAACTCCAAGGTTTTACATCAAAAGTCCAAAAAACAGCAATGATGTGCTTAATAAAATTATTAGCTAGTGCTACATCAAGGTTGAAAGTTAAATGCAGTGGTTAAGAAAAATTTGTCAGAAGTAGCTGATTTCCTTCTCAAGCCCTGTAAACCAATAAATGGCATCATTATGC